GATTGCACATAACAATCAGGTTTTGCATAACTTTGTGCTTATTTGTGGAAACTTTTTTTTTTTTTTTGTAAGCCATTGAACCTAAACACTAGATTCTATGGTATGCTTACACGATGCAATCTGTTTTTGACCAGCTTCTTCCAACCCATTAGGACTACTGGGCAGCAGACAGCACCCATAATAGCGATCGATGTATGCACCCCGGCATCAGCAACACTGCAACACATTACGAACCCGAACCTACAGAGTGACATCTAAACCCCTGTACTTAATTCCGCCAACTACTAATCACGCAATCCCAATAATAAATTAACCGTACAGTAAGCCGGCATAATCCTAGTACGGCATCCCCGCCCGATAAAGAAAGAAAAATCCCCGATAGAAACAGCCGGATGCTTTTTCTGCAGCTTAGAAATCAAACCTCAAGCTCAAGTGGGGCTTACTGATGAATCAGCCGAAAATGGCATCATCATGTTTCCTAAGGTTAACCCGTTACCCCCCATGAACTAACTAACTAACGTAGCTGTTCAATTGCATTATTCATCGTGTAGTAGTTATCTGGTCGGTCATGAGCGGGGTTCGTGTAGGATCCAGAGGCCTATTTAATGCCCGTTGTTTTCGTCGTCGCACTGCATCTTCTTTTGTATTATCATCACCATCATCATCACCTATTTACTTGAACTCAATTTTCTGTTCACGGATCCCTTCTTCTACTACTTTTTCTTCTTATTCTCTGTATAGTACAGCTACAGCTGCAGCTACCACAATGAGCCGCCCCGACATCACCCTCTACACAGCGCAGACTCCCAATGGAATTAAGATTTCCATTGCGCTGGAGGAGCTAGGGTATGCCGATATCTTCATAGGATAATTAGCAATCAACTAACCGATAATCCAGTCTCCCTTACAAAGTCGAGAAGATCGACATCACCAAGAACACCCAGAAAGAGCCGTACGCTACCTTCTCCATACCTCAACAAAACCTCTCCCCATCACCACTAACACCATCTAGATGGTTCCTCGAAATCAACCCCAACGGCCGCATCCCCGCCCTGACCGACACCTTCACTGACGGATCCAAGATCCGCCTCTTCGAATCCGGCAGCATCCTCACCTACCTGGCGGAACAATACGACAAAGACCACAAGATCTCCTACCCGCAGGGCACCCGCGAATACTATGAACAGAACAGCTGGCTCTACTTCCAGAACGCCGGTGTCGGGCCCATGCAAGGCCAAGCGAACCACTTCCACCGGTATGCGCCCGAGCGCATCGAGTACGGCGTGAACCGCTACATCAACGAGACGAGACGGCTATACAGCGTGCTGGATGCGCACCTCGCCAAGTCCAAGTCCGGGTATCTTGTTGGTGATCACGTCAGTATTGCGGATATCTCGCATTGGGGATGGGTTGCTGCGGCCGGATGGGCGGGAGTCGATATTGAGGAGTTCCCCAATCTCAAGGCGTGGGAGGAACGCATGGCTGCGAGGGAGGGAGTCGAGAAGGGTAGACATGTGCCGAGTCCGCATACTATCAAGGAGGTTTTGAAGGATAAGGCCAAGGCGGAGAAGATTGCGCAGGAGTCGAAGGGGTGGATTCAGCAGGGGATGAAGGCGGATGCTAAGCACTAGTTGTTCGTTAGTATGTTTTAGTTAGTGATGATATATATGACACTTTTATTTTGCCATGATAAAGTTGTGAGATAGTATTGATGTGAAAGTGCATAGTTAGTTCCTGTTCTGTTCTGCTCTCGCTTAGTCATCACCACGTGCCGGTCTAAAAGCCTTGCCACATCTCCCTCCCCAGCTTCTCTCGTCGCATCGCATCGCCGTCCTGTCGTCAAGGATCCTGCGGAGAAAGAAAGAAAAAGAATATCTCTTTTTTGCTCGTATATCGGTCTCATTAACAACAGGGGTTAATAGTCGTTCATCATGGCCTGGCGCAACCAGGGAATCACCGGGTCCAATAACATCCCTCTGGGCCGGAGACGGTTTGGAGGTGAGGAGGGCCCGGAGGATGAGAGTCGCACCGCGACGCCTGCGTCTATGCCTGGTGCTGGTGATTCGGCCTACAAGCGTGGTCGGAGCCCTGTCCGAGGTGAGTGCATAATATTATAACTGTCCTTCAATACTAAACAGCTGCTAATGCTATTGTTAGCTGAACCCCCCGCCGACGGCGTCAAGAAGCGCAAGAAGCGTAACCGTTGGGGCGATGCGCAGGAAAACAAGGCCGCCGGTCTCATGGGTCTGCCGACCATGATTATGGCTAATTTCACCAATGAACAGCTGGAAGCGTATACCCTGCATTTGCGGATTGAGGAGATTAGCCAGAAGCTGAGGATCAATGATGTTGTGCCGGCTGATGGGGATAGGTTCGTCCCTTCTTCCTGTTGATGGCTGCTGCGCCCTTCTGGAAAACATGCTAACGGTTTTAGATCTCCCTCTCCCCCTCCTCAGTACGATAACTTTGGCAGACGTGTAAACACTAGGGAATACCGCTACCGGAAGCGTCTCGAGGATGAGCGCCACAAACTCGTCGAAAAGGCGATGAAGACTATTCCTAACTACCACCCGCCTTCTGACTACAGACGTCCTACTAAGACCCAGGAGAAGGTCTATGTGCCTGTGAATGACTATCCAGAGATTAACTTCAGTATGATAACTAACCCTCTAACTCCTAACCATTGCTGTATTTGTACTCTCCTGCACTCCTTGACTCTGCTGTGCTCGAGTCGGGCTTCTGATGAAGACTTCGCCGCCGGGCGTTGTTTATCTCCAGCTCGCTTCTTGCGAACCCTTGCTCTACCTGTTCTTTTGCTCCCACTTGCACCATTTTGCTCACACTCACCCGCCTGAAAGTACTTAAAACAGCTTGCACTAACACTTAGCTTTTTGCTATCTTTTAAAGTTGGCTTACTCATAGGACCTCGTGGTAATACCCTGAAGAAGATGGAGTCGGAGTCTGGTGCCAAGATTGCCATTCGTGGTAAAGGCTCCGTCAAGGAAGGAAAGGGTCGCTCTGATGCCGCTCATGCCAGCAACCAGGAAGAAGATCTTCACTGTTTGATTATGGCGGATACTGAGGAGAAGGTTAACAAGGCGAAGAAGCTGGTGCATAATGTCATTGAGACGGTATGTACTCCCAAGATGTTGTACAATGAAGTCCAGGTACTAATGGACACAGGCTGCTTCGATCCCCGAGGGTCAGAACGAGCTCAAGAGGAATCAGCTTCGAGAGCTGGCTGCACTCAACGGTACTCTCCGTGACGACGAGAACCAGGCTTGCCAGAACTGTACGTGCCCTTCATAATCTACTTAGAATTATAGCTGACAAACACAGGTGGTCAAATTGGACACCGCAAGTACGACTGTCCTGAGCAGCGCAACTTCACCGCCAATATCATCTGTCGCGTCTGTGGTAACGCTGGTCACATGGCCCGTGATTGTCCCGACCGTCAGCGCGGCTCTGACTGGCGCAACAACAACGGTGGCTTCGGCGGCCGCAGGGCCATTGGCGGCGGTGACGCTGTCGACCGTGAGATGGAGGTATGTTCCCGCACATTCCTTTTCCAAGTACACAGTACATAGTACTAACATCCCTCAGCAACTCATGCAAGAATTGTCTGGTGGCGCGCCCGGCGAAGACGGCCATGTCCCTCGTCGGATCGAGGCTGGCCCCGATCAAGGTTATGATGACCGCGATGTGAAGCCATGGCAGCGCGGACCTCCGCCCAGTGACGTGGCTCCCTGGCAGCAACGAGGCCGCGACCGCCGTGACGACTACGGCTCCCGCGACCACGGCAGTGCGCCTCCATGGGCTGCACAGGGCCGTGGTGGTGGTGGCGGTGGCGGCGACTATGGCTATGGCTCTCACGGTGGTTATGGTGCACCTGGAGCTGCTGCTGCCTCCGCTGCTGCTCCTTGGCAACAGGCTGCTCCCCCGCCGCCCCCTGGCGGACAAGCATCGTACGGATACGGAGCTTATCCTACGTACCCCGGCATGGGTGCCCCTGGCGCTCCTCCGGGTCTGAGTGTTCCTCCTCCGCCGCCGGGCATGCCGTCGATGTACTACGGCTCTGGCAGCCCACCCCCTCCGCCTCCTGGCGAGGGTCCCCCGCCTCCGGTATGTTTGCTATCTATCCCATTGAATCTACTGCTTACTGACATGATGATGCAGCCGCCTAGTGACCAGCCTCCCCCGCCTCCCCCTCCCGCTTAGAGGAGATGCGACATGAAAAGTGGTTAATGTTGATGCAAACGATAGCTAGGGATACCGGTAGAAGAATCCGGCCCGGGTAAATTGATAGTGCACGTAGGACACTGGCGATGATAGTTTTAACAACAACTCTCTCTGTGTAATAGTTAGGTAGTCCAGCATCAAGCGTTCTGCTGTAATTGTTTGCTTCCACTTTTCGATAAATTCGAGACTTAGTTTGCAGGGGGATACATCAATCCGTCTGCAAAATGTACGCATGGCTGCCCGTCGGCAAAAAACGTCGCTCGCTCGCTCGCTCGCTAAAGCCAATGACGTTAGGCACTAACTAGCATGGTCGCTACCGCGTAGAAACATGACTAGCATAGATAAAGACAGACCCGCCATCATAGTTTTATCTCTCGGTGTCCCCAATTGTTATTAGACTAGAGTCATGGTTATATTATATTTCTTCCACTTCGCCTTTCTAGAAGCACAATCCTCGTGAGCTTTCCGCAACCGTCGCCGTGACTCGCTGCCGGAACTCCAGTCTAGCTAGCCAGCTAGCTTAGCCAGTACTAACTAGCCGGCCGTTTCTCCACACTTTTTCCCTTCTTCTCATTCCTCGAACCTAACTTTCCCCGGATCAAGTTAACCAGTTAAGATTCCGGCTGAGAGACTTTTTTCTTTCCCTCTCCCGCCCGGGGCAGCTGTGAGAGAGAGCTTACTAGGCTCTTTACGTATACTTACTCTCATTATTATTGTTATCTTGTAGTATATTGAGGGATAGCCGAGTTCTTAATAGAACCATGCAGGCTCCATCTGCCTCCACCTCAGGCTCCCACAGCGGCGGCAGCGGAGGAGGAGGGGGAGGAGATACCCTCCCACCGTCATCTTCGCATTCGCGCCGGCCGTGGCAGTCGCAATCGCAACATCTCCGCCCGGCGACGACGACGACGACGAGCAGTATTCGCTCTCAGCACAGTACACACAACAGCCATCATGAACAACATACTAGGTATCAGTCTTCCACGGGGAGTGGGATTGGTAATGCTGGGGCGAGAGAAGAAGGAGAAGAGAAATGGTACAAAATCCATCTCTTCCGCGGCATGATTCAGGATATTAAGCGTCGTGCTCCGTTCTATTGGAGTGATTGGACTGATGCGTGGGATTATCGCGTCGTGCCCGCGACGGTGTATATGTATTTTGCTAAGTGGGTTCAATCCTCCTTTTTATGTCTGGGGATCTTTTGTGGTGCTGATTGTGTTGTGCTGTGATGTAGTATTCTTCCTGCGCTGGCTTTCTCGTTGGATATGTTTGAGAAAACCAACCAGAGTTATGGCGTTAATGAGGTCTTGCTGGCGAGTGTGTTGGCTGCGGTGGTGTTTTCGGTCTTTGCGGCTCAGCCGTTGGTTATTGTGGGGGTTACTGGTATGTTCTTTTTCTATCTCGATCTCTTTCTTCTTTTGTTTTTGGTCTGTTGTTGATCTGGTGGTGGGTTAGGTCCTATTACTGTGTTTAATTACACGGTTTATGATATCATTTCGCCACGAGGGACGAATTATTTGGCATTTATGTGCTGGATTGGGATGTGAGTCTTCTTGCGGTTCTTATTCTGACAGCTCGTGTGCTGATGTTGTAGATGGTCGTTGATCATGCATTGGCTGCTTGCCATTACCAATGCCTGTAATGGTCTCACCTATGTCACCCGTTTCTCGTGCGATATCTTCGGTTTCTATGTCGCCTTTATCTACCTCCAGAAGGGTATCCAAGTCCTCACTAGGCAGTGGGGGACCGCTGGCGAGACTTCCGCGTATCTCAGTATCATGGTCGCCTTGCTAGTGCTTATGAGCGGCTGGATCTGTGGCGAGCTTGGTAATAGCAGTCTCTTCAAACGGTGGATTCGCAAGTTTCTGGAGGATTATGGCACGCCCTTGACCATTGTGTTCTTTACTGGGTTTGTTCATATCGGCCATATGAGGGATGTCGAGGTCGCGCGACTGCCCACTAGCAAGGCATTTTTCCCGACAGAGGAGCGCCCGTGGCTGGTTCATTTCTGGGATATCAATGTCGGCGATGTGTTCCTTGCTATTCCGTTTGCGGTGCTGTTGACGATTCTGTTCTATTTTGACCATAATGGTAAGTCAACGTACAAGGTCGCAAATGCTCTGGTGGGTAACTGACCGAATAGTCTCGTCTCTTATCGCCCAAGGAACCGAGTTTCCTCTGCGCAAGCCAGCCGGCTTCCACTGGGACCTCTGGCTACTCGGAATCACCACCTTCGTGGCCGGTCTCCTGGGTATCCCCTTCCCGAACGGTCTCATTCCCCAGGCACCCTTCCACACGGCCGCTCTCTGCGTCACCCGCGACGTCGCCGACGAAGACGACACCAACAAAGGCAAAGCCATCCGCGTCACCGACCACGTCGTCGAACAACGCGTCAGCAACTTCGCCCAAGGCCTCATGACCCTGGGCACCATGACCGGCCCTCTGCTCATTGTTCTGCACCTGATCCCCCAAGCCGTTCTGGCCGGCCTCTTCTTCATCATGGGCGTCCAAGCTCTCCAAGGCAACGGCATCACCCAGAAACTCATCTTCCTCGCTCAAGACAGCGGTCTCACGCCAGCATCCAACCCGCTCAAGCGCATCAAACGCCGTCTCTCCATCTGGGCGTTCGTCATCCTGGAGCTGATCGGCTTCGGCGCCACTTTTGCCATCACACAGACTATTGCTGTCATCGGTTTCCCGGTTATTATCCTGCTGCTTATCCCCGTCCGCTCGTTCTTGTTCCCCTGGTGGTTTACACAAGAGGAATTGTCCATCCTGGATGCCCCAACTGCTAGTCCATTCACTATGGAGAGCGTGGGTGGGACGCATGGGCTGAGTGACGCTGCTGCTACTGCTTCGGGTCGGGATGATGATCGTCGGGATTCAAAGAATGGGGGTGGTGGTAATGGGGTTATGATGCGGAGGGATGAGAGCTCGTCGGAGTCGGCTGTTGAGGATGATTTGGAGAGAGGTGAGGCGTATGAGATGCAGAGGTTGGGTGTAAGGCGGAGGAGTACGACTGGTGGGGTGTGAGTAGATGTATTCCCCATGAGGGAAAGCGCTGCAGTGCAGGTGATGGGCTAAAAGTATATAATGGTTTTGATTTTGAGGGTATATAGTGGAGAGATAGATAGTCTAGTATATAATTGAAGATGCATCAAGTGCAGTATTTCAGGTTGTTGATATTTTCGATTTCTTACTAGGGTATAGATTGAAGCCCACTCTTAAGCGTCACTGTTCCCAGGTAAGATTGTCCGTTTTCCACCTCTTTACCCACCCTTCTTCTTACATGAGAAACGTGCATCTACATCGAATGGGTGTAAACCTACTTACTTAGCTGCCTGTGGAATGTTACCTTGAAGTATTCATCATATGATATCAACTTACTATGGACACACTCCCGCATAGAGCCCTCTTCAGAAGTAGTATCTGCGCGCTGTATTACCTACCTACATGTGCTTTATAGTCGACCGATGCTTAGTAGACATATGATGAGCGAAATAAGCGACAGTCAACTTGATAGAAGGTCAAATTCGCCTATTTGGGCTAGCTCTCTCTTCCTAGAGTCTAGTCGTGGCCCGGAAGCTATGCCATGCGTGTCATTGTAGGTTGGTCAGATAATCTAACTGAGCTTGTTCTAGATCAGAAACCAAGGCTTATATATGGCTAGGTTGATAGGCCCTTTTTGTTTGGTCGCTTCGGAATTATGCTAGCTAGTCTCCGGGGAAGGGTTATTTGTCCATGCTGTGCCATGGTGTTGTATTGTGGAGTAGCGTATCTGGCACTATTAAGTAGTGCGAGGGGCTCTTTTCTCGTCTGGTAGAGCAGATGTTGAGGGTCAAGTCGAATGCTTCTAGCGTCTTGATAGATGATCTGCGTTCTGGGAGGATTCTTCTTAGGGTATTATTTGGCGGGTGAGGACTGTTTAATGGTATTTGAGGCGTATGATTTGGCGGGGTCTCTCATCTTGATTGAAGAATGGGCCATCCTGATGGTGTGATTCTGTACATGAAGTACATTTGCAGGACAGCCAAGAATAATGTCTCCGAAGATTTATGGCAGTCAACTGTGTAATGAGGAATGTGTTGATTCAGCCATCTTCTTTCTTGCTTATTATGTTCCTCGGTACATTCTTGGCCATTTATAACTTCTGTTCCACCACTACAGCAATAGTGTATATTTGCGTTCATCCATTGGTATTGTTATTAGATCTCCCGATCTCCCGTTCCTGCTCGTGGCGTCTCGCTCGTTATCCATGATAAAGTGGTGCTGAGTGCGTAACCTTTAAATGTCTAATTTGATATGGAGGATCAAGGATTGTCATTTTATCTGAACTCTCTAAATTCGTTAGCTTGCGTTTCAATGGCATGGTTTGAAGCGAATCGAAAGAAAGCCCACCAGGCGCTGGTATCAACTGAAAGAGAAATATCACCTCTGACCAGTCTTCGTTCCAATTTATAGCAATTCAACTGTTGCGACACCCTCTTCCGTTTCACATTCGATCTGATATTGTGCGCAATTCCGCGCAATCTCCGTAAAGTAGACACAGCGTAGATCGTCTGAGCAATCTGAAGCCATCCAGATTGACCTCACTGTCGGTTCTCCATCAACTCAGGCCTCAGTTTGTAAACATGACAAACAAGGAAGGCGCGATCAATCCCACGCTGCTCTCCTCTGCCTCGCTCCTTCCTCATCTAGATCTTAACACGCGTTGTTGCTCCTCCAACTCGCCATCGACGTGTTTCCGCTCTCTCTTTCTGTTTCTTCCCTATCTTCTCATCCTTCTACCTTTCTCTGTATCCTCACATTTGACTTCATCTTCTCTTATCTGACTTAGTCCTTTTCGTGGGCGTCAAGGTATAAAAGGCCTCTTCTCTCTTCCTCTTCTTCCTTCTTCCTCCCCAACCTACTCCTCTTCTCTTGAGCGCTCCTCCCTTCTGCTGCGTCCTCTGATCGTTGACCATCATCACACACAGCCTAAAAACCCAAAAAATTCAATAAACAACAAAAATATCTCGGCGTTGTCGCAGCCATGCAGGCGAGCAAAAATGTTCCACTTTCGGACCCGGCGTTGGACCGGCCGAGATTGAAAACCGACATGTGTAAGAACGTGGACTTGCCAATGTCTGCGTTTGCGATTAACCACTTGGTAAGTTCAGGCCTCTGTTTGCATTCCCTCGATTCGTTCAATATGCATCATGTGGTGTAATGCACTGGCGTTCCTGTCACCGCCGTCGGGCCGCGTCGTACGGCGTATTCCCTTGGTCTTTTCACCGTCCTTCTTTATACGGGCTGGGAATCTCCGGGATATTCCCTCCCTCCGACCCATTACCTTCTCCCCTGCTTCCAAATCTGAAGGGACTTGCCGGTCTTTTTTACTCTGTACAACCTACTTTGAAGGCTATCACCTGCAGGACGTCGCCTATTCACCCCATTTCATTGGGCAAACGCCTCCTGCTGCCATTATCATGCCGGGATTCACCTTTCCACCATTCCTTTCATGTAGGAAGTTGACTTCCATATTCCTATTTCACTGGCTCTATTGCTTCACAATATGTGGGAATGTCCGTTTCTCGACAGGAATATAAATATCCCCTTGATTTCTCTCCCAGGGTTTCTTCTTCTTCCTTCTCCATCACCCTATTCTACTTTCCTATCCACCCGTGTGCTTCCTTCGCAAACCATTCTCGTTTATCGCTTTTCCTTTTCGTTTTTATCCTTTCAAAGCAACTATCTTGCATTACATCTTTGTTCATCATGGACAATATTGAAGCCATCAATAAACTCCCAGGGGGTCTCCGTCACTTGAGAATTCGTACTGATGAGGAGTTCCAAAAGTACTCTGTACCAGTGGAGACTGTCCCCCGTCCAGGTTTCAATACAACCGGAAAAGAAGTCGAGCTTTCGCTCAATGCCTACCCCATTACGAAGTTCCCTAGCCGAACCGTTTATCAGTACGATGTAGGTTGCGGCCCAGATGAATCACTTCTCTATTGCTAACCTTTATAGGTTCACATCGGCACCGGACTGGAGAAGTTCATTGTCAATAAGAAGGTGTGGAATTCCAGGGCTCGAAGGGCGGCTTTGAAGAGCATCGTCTATGATGGCTCGAAGCTTGCATGGTAGGTAGACCACCGAGTATCTCACAGGGCACTGCTTATGGTACAACCAGGTCGATGAACCTCTACAAAACCGAATTCAATGAGGAAATCAATCTTGACGTCGAAGAGGGTCGGCCCGTGCGGAAAGGCATAGAGAAGGACAAGAATACCTTCCGTCTGCTTGTCCGGCACACAAGGACAGTCAACCTGGCCGTGTTGAATGCTTGGCTCTCCGGTCAGGCGTCCTTCGACGATGGAGTGCTGGAGGCGATGAGTAAGTACTCACTCTTTTCCTGATGTTATTAGAGACCAACTGACAATCCCCAGATTTCCTTGACCATGTTCTTAGAGAACATCCCAGCTCACGGCTTCTGGCCATCAAACGTTCCTTTTTCGATGAAAATGGAGGGAAGGGGGAGCTGGGCGGGGGCGTCATTGCTCTTAAGGGAATGTATCAATCCATTCGGCCTGCCATCGTGAGATTGCCCTTATCCTACCTTACCCCGGTCTTTGATCTAACTGTTATCCCAGGGCGGTAGACTTATTGTCAATGTCGACGTCTCCAATACATGCTTTTGGGCCCGTATTAGCCTGACTGGCGCGGCACTGGAGATTTGTGACGCCAGAGACCATCAGCATCTATGCCATCTCCTTAGGCCCAAGCCGGATGGATATGGCGGAGTTACCGAGTCGGAGCTTTTCCAAGAAGTCAGTAGGCGGCTCCGAAAGCTGGTTGTGGCTCCATTCTACGGAGGATGCCCAGTCCTGGGAGTCCGGTTCACTGTCAAGGGGCTTATTAACGGCAACGCACGCCAGTACATGGTTGACATAAAGGACAAGGCTACCGGAAAGATTGACCGGATGAGCGTCGAGCAGTACTTCAAGCGCAAGTACGACCTGACCCTCAACGACTGGGCACTTCCCATGGTAGAGATGACCAAGAAAGATGTGGTCTACCCTATGGAGGTCTTGACCATCCAGGGTCTCCAGCGCTTTCCTTTTAAGTTGAATGAAACCCAGACAGCTCAAATGATCAAATATGCGGCGTCTCGTCCGTCAGAGAGGCTCGAGACAATTCTCACTTCTAAGAGAACACTTGCCCACGACCAAGACCCTGTCCTTAACAACTTTGGGCTTAAGATCAGCAATACCATGATGAAGACCAAGGCTCGGCTTCTACCAAGTCCCGCCGTCATGTTCGGCAACAACCAGCGCATCGAGCCTGGTGTTAGTGGCCGCTGGGATCTCCGCGGAAAGAAGTTCTACACAGCAAACCCACAGCCCCTTCAAACATGGGGGATTGGCTATTTCCCTGGAAGACGCAACGTTATCAGTAACGACCAGGTAGTCAGGTTCGCCGACAACTTTATGAAGACCTATGCTGGACATGGAGGCACAATTACCCGCCGTCCTGTGATCATCGAGCTCAAAGAAGACATTGGTGAAGCGATCAAAAAGCTGTATGAGGGTGCCGGAAAGGCAAATCAAGAGGACCCTCAGTTGCTTCTTGTCATCGTCCCGGATAAAAATTCCTTCACTTATACGCGGATTAAGAAGTCGTGTGACTGCCGCTGGGGTGTGCCTTCCCAAGTCCTGCAGGCAGGTCATGTCAACAGGGGTAATCCCCAATATGTTTCCAATGTCCTCATGAAGGTGAACGCTAAGCTTGGAGGAGTCACTAGTCGTGCAGTGTCAAAGGTGCAAGGAGCGACCTTGCGTCCAGGCTCAATGATTATCGGCGCTGACGTGACTCATCCTCCCATGGGTGTCTGGTCACCCTCAATGGCGGCAGTTTCCGTGTCCAAGGATCCCTATGGTAGCAGCTACTTCGGTGCTTGCGAAGCAAACATGGATCGTATAGAGATCATCTCGCGGACCAGTATGGAGTTTATGCTCGCCCCTCTTGTTCGTGAATGGATAACCACTATCGGA